ATCTTCACTTTGAAGTTTTAGCATGAACATTCGATTCTTCGATATTTGCACCTTTGCAATCAATGTACCTCTTTGATCTTGAAGAAAAAGACCATGATCCTTTGTATGAAAATCATAGCCCTTTTCTAAGAGCTATCACAAACTCAATATATTACTTTCATATTGGGCAAAAAATAGACATTAATGATAAATTTCTCTTCTCCATTTTTAAGGTCAATAAGAATTTTGCCTCGGCCTTTCATTAGAATCTTTGAGAAATCTCCAAAAGCCACCTTGCCAATCACAGATTTGTCCATATCGACGAACATACTTCTCTTACACACATATGGTTGTTGGCACCAGTATCAGCACAAATATCCTCCTTGTTGCTATCTCCTCCGAATGCTAAAAGAAGAATATTATCATCACCTCCTTTCTCAACATAATTCACCATCTCTTCAACTTGAATGTAATAACAATCAAAAGAATAATGACCATACTTCTTGCATTCAAGACATTGAACTTGTGCTTTCCATCAGTCTCCATTAGATCTACCACATCCATGGCCTTTAAAGGATCTTTGATTTTAATCTTTTTCTTTAAAGTTTTCATGAACTCCTTTGCCATAGAAACCACGTCATCCGCCTTAAAATTTATCTTGAAACTTTCTATGGCCATGACCGCTGTTACTTCCTTCGTTTGAATATTCTCGGTCATCCTTTAAAGAAAGCTTAGTTTGAAGAGCCTTCTCCACTAGTTTATTTCTCTTGCTAAATCTCTTCTCATGGGCATTTAAGGAACACAAGAGTTCATCAATCATCATCTTCGCCAAGTCTTTTGACTCTTTGATTACACAAACAATATAGTCAAAATTTTGAGAATGTGATTGGAGAATTTTCTCCACCACATGATTATCTTTGATCTTATCACCATTTCTCTAAAGATCAATCACAACGGCTAAGACTCGAGTGAAATTGTCAGAAACTAGTTCACTTTCCTCCATCTCTAAATCTCTAAACTCGTTTCAAAGTGTTTTGACTTGCACATTCTTCACCTTCTCCACTCCCTTATAGTAGGAGTTTTGAAGTATCTCCCAAGTTTGTTTTCAAGTCACCGCATCTGAGATATTCTTGAATGCAGATTCATCAACTCCTTGATAAACAAAGTAGAGAGCTCTATTGTCTTTCTTACCGGACTCTTTAAGTGAATCTCTCTATGCTACCGATAGCGCACCATCATCTTGAGTATTTTCAAAGCCTTTCACCGCAACATCCCAACAACTTATTGATCCTAATAGAACCTTCATTTGAACACACTATTTTTCATATTTTTCTTTGGTGTGTTTAGGAGCAAGAAATGGAAACATTATGTTGGAAACCATGTTAGCTCTGATACCAAATTGATAATGATATTTTTCCTAGGGTAAATAATTTGGAGGAGGATAAAATTTTTCTTTGATTTTTCTTCTTGGCTTAGTATCTTTCAACCTACAGAAGACACATGTATATATATTACTACAATGACTCTCAGACTTTCTAATAAAGACTCTTGAACTTCCTAACAATACTCATGCATCTAACAATCATGTGTTTGACTCCTAATATAACTAAACGATCTTTCCAGTTCTCGAGATAATTAATCAATTTTTACTTTCAACATCTTTAAAATATAGATGAGAAATAAGAGGAAGAAGATCCTACACTTATTTTATTTTGCCCTTTAACTCCAAAACAAGATAACTCTTTTAACTCTTCTTTTATGCTGAAGCAACTTTATCCCTAAAGACGTTAGTCCGTTTGATGTGCCCTTCACCCTCATGAGTGCAACACAAGTGTTAGATTTAAAAGGCAACCTTATATCTTTTTATATATCAAACACACTCTTAACTCAGTAATTGTGAGATATTTCTTGACAATTATCTATCTAGGTTTTGATCCAACATAGTCTAACACGACTCGAATACCATAATTTTGATGTATTAAATGTTTAATTCTAGCCTACTACATATTGAGAGTTACGACTCATTCTTCTTTTGCAAGTCAAAAACAATTTCTAGACCCTCAGTTTGGCCTATATTGATCTAGCCTCTCCATGAACTCATCTACAACTCGTTCAAATGCACATAGATTGTTTTATTGTGTACATCTCAGACGAATGAAGATGTATGAGGAATTGAAATCACAGTTTTGGTGGCCGAATATATAGCAAGATATAGCCGAGTTTGTGGCTAAGTGGTTGAAATGGGAGCACGTCATGATGGACTTTGTCATGGCGTTGCTGAGGTGTGTGAAGGGAAATAATACAACTACGACTATTGTTGACAATTTGATGAAGTCATCACCCTTCATGATATAGGAGATCTACAAGATGTGACACGATGACTCGAAACAGACGAATCGATAACAAACCAGACAAGACAAGACTCGACGACTTGAACCAGACGAGTTGACAACAAACCAAACAAGATGAGACCCCCGAGACTTCAAGACCCTAGTCGAAAGGACCCAAGACCCCGAGACTACGAAACCCTGGTTAACAGGATGAGATCCCAGCTAATACCCTCAGTCAACAAGATGAAACAACACGCCCCAGTAGACACGAAGGGTGGTGTTAGTCAACACCTGCCAGTCGACACGTCCCAGTCGACATAAAGGGAGTCAGTCGACACATGTTAGTTGGCTCATGTCCAATCGACACAAAAGACATTACTACTCGCTACGCCTCGTGTCGACTTGGATTTTAGATTAGGAAAGAGTTCATTTTTTTATTGTTTCCTTTTAAGATTTGGTATTTTCCTTTTAGGATTAGGGTTTCTTTTTATTAGAGTTAGGATATATTTAGTTATAAATATTAGTTCCTTTTGTAAATTGTCAATCAACTTTTCAATTATTCAATCAAGAGAATTTTTCTCATTGTTTAAGTTCTCAACTTTGAGAAACTTAGAGCTTGTAGATTCAAGCTCATGAACTACCTGCTGTTGTCAGGGATTTTTGATATTGGAATGATATTCGATCAGCCTCCCCATTTCTACGTCTGTGTCAAGTGGTATCAGAGCTTCGACTTCAACATCCTCGGCAATGGCAGGTGATAACGAGAAGAAACTTTCTCTATAGGATCTTTTCGAGGATGGATTTTATGGATGGAAGATTTGGCACGTTGGAGGCGTCACTTCAGAACCTTCAACAAGCCATTGAAGGACTTACCCTTCACCTCAACAATGGGAATAATTTCACTGACGGTCTTCAGCTAAGCGAACCTAGAGTTAGGCTACCCTGACATCCACTCACGTACAATCTCTAACCCCCTCCAGTTCTTCCCCCTCCAAATCAACCACGTCCAAACTAAACCCCTCCATATTAACCCCCTCCGCATCGGCCTATGCCATATCAAACCCCTCTGTATCAACCTCCTCCTTATCGAGCCCCTCCACATCATAGATGACATCCCAACCAACTCCCTCCACAAGATGAATTTAGTGATGAAGGAGCTGACTATGGTGCCCAATTTGAGGGACCATGGTACGACAACGTCTCTAATGAATAAGAAGAAGGGCAACCTTATGGCAGAGGTCAGGGCAGAGGCTTCAAACCTCATTGTAACTATCACCGACAGGGCAGACGTCACCACGACCAAGAGTACCGAATGAAGGTGGAACTCACCTCCTTTGGAGGAAATTTGGACATAGAGGCTTTCTTGGATTGGCTATATGAAGTGGAGAAGTTCTTTGAGATAGCTATTGTGCCCGAAGTAAACCAGGTGAAGTTTGTAGCATATCGTCTCAAAGGAGGAGCTAAGGCATGGTGGGATCATACTCAAAACACTAAGCGACGGCAAGGTAAACAACCAGTTTGGATTTGGCGATGCATGAAGCAATTTAGCCAGACTAGGTTCCTACCACCCGACTACCAACAAATCCTTTACAACTAGTTCGAGCAATATCGTTAAGGCATCAGATCGGTAAGCACCTATACCGAAGAGTTCTTTTGTCTTACTTCTCATTGTGATTTGTCAATGAGCGAGGAACAACTTGCAGCCAAGTATATCGGTGGTTTAAAGTACTCAATTCAAGAGAAGGTAGCCATCCATAATGTATACTCCATGGACGAAGTCCACAATATGGCTCTAAAGGCAAAAAGATTGGCCTCTAAGATACCACCTTTCAGTGAACCGATCAAGGAAGTTCGGCTGAGAAGGCAAGAGGTGAGTCGGTAGGGCCTAGGACGACTGATCGGTCTAGTCCACCATGATCAGCCGAGCGGTCGACAACTCAACCACCACCCCAGATGACTCAATCAAATCATTATGTCAAGACGACTATAGGGAAGTGTTTTCGATGTCTCCAACCAGGACACAAGTCCAATGAGTGCCCGCATCGGCAGAAGGTTAATCTAGCGGATTATGAAGAGGAAGAAGATGGACACACAACATCTGATGAATATTCTGAGGAAGAGGTTGTCGAGATTGAGGGCGATAACGTGTCGTGTGTTGTTCAACGACTCCTGTGCACCCAGAAGACTCCAGATTCATCACAACAACATGAAATCTTCTTTTCTAGGTGTTCAGCCAACAAAAAGGTATGCACCCTCATCTTTGACAATGAAAGCTGTGAGATTATTGTGTCGAAGGCCATGGTGGAACACTTGAGACTACCAATAGAAACAAAACCCATACCCTATACCATAAGATGGATCAAGAAGAGCCCCTCTGTTAAGGTGACTGAATTATGTCGTGTTCCACTATTACTAAGGAAGACTTATCATGACTCTGTTATTTATGATATTGTGGACTTGGATGCATGTCATGTATTGTTGGGGCGACTATGGCATTATGATGTCTATGCTAAGCATGGTGGAAAGAAGAATGAATATTCTTTCTTATAGAATAATAAGAAGATCATCCTACTACCTATTCCACCTTCTCCAAAGCACCCCAAAGATCAAAAATAAAAAAGAATCTCTCTTTGCAACAAGCGTTAATTTCTGGCTGGGTCAAAGGAGTTAAAACAGAGGTTTGCCTTAGTAATGAAGGAAGAAGTGAAGATACTCATTGAGATCCCAAAGAAGATAAAGTCACTACTTAAGAACTTTGAAGTTTTGGTTCCTGAAGAGCTGCCAGAGGGACTTCCTCCTATGAGGGATATTCAACACCACATTGATTTCATTCTAGGCTCAGTGCTTCCTAATCTTCCTCACTATCGTATGAACCCACAGGAGAAAAATATTTTACATGATACCATTGAGGACCTCATTAAGAAGAGCCACGTTCGAGAGAGTATGAGTCCATGCGTAATTCCAGCACTGTTGACACCAAAGAAGGACGCAAGTTGGCGGATGTGTGTGGATAGTCAATCCATTAACAAGATTACAATTTACTACAGGTTTCCAATTCCTCGGTTAGATGACATGTTAGACCAGTTAGGAGGTGCGAGCATCTTTTCAAAGATCGACTTGAGGAGTGGCTATCATCAAATCTGAATCTGACCCAGCGACGAGTGGAAGACTGCTTTCAAAAGTACTGAGGGTCTCTACGAATGGTTAGTGATGCCTTATGGGTTATCGAATGCTCCAAGCAACTTTATGCATTTAATGAACTAAATTCTGAAGCCTTTCTTAGGAAGATTTGTAGTCATCTACTTTGATGACATTCTCATCTATAGCCGAGATGAACAGGAGCATATGTTACATCTCCGAGAAGTTTTCCAAGTGCTAAAGGAGAACGAGGTTTTAAATAGATCGTAAGAAGTGCGTGTTCTTGATGACTCAGCTAGTGTTCTTAGAGTTTGTGGTAAGCTCGTAAGGGATCTAGGTTGAAGAAGATAAGGTCAAAGTAATCAAGGAATGGCCGACTTAGAAGAGTGTTACTGAAGTAAGGAGCTTTCATGGGTTAGCATCTTTTTATCGATGTTTCATTCACAATTTTAGTTCTATAGTTGCTCCCATGATGGATAGCTTGAAGAAGAAGGGTGTTTTCCAGTAGGCCGAAGAAGCAAATGCAGCTTTTGCTCTTATCAAGGAGAAGATTACTACTGCACATATATTGGCATTTCTACATTTCGACAAGCTCTTTGAGCTTGAGTACGACGCATGTGGTGTAGGTATTGGAGCAGTCCTCTCTCAAGAGAAGCGCCCCATTACTTTCTTGAGCGAGAAGTTGAATGAAGCTCGGCAGAAGTGAAGTACTTATGAACATGAATTATATGTTGTTTATCGTTCTTTGAAGACTTGGGAAAGTTACCTCATTCCTAACGACTTCGTAATTTACTCCGATCATCAGTCTCTTCAACACTTCAAGAATCAAAGTTATGTCAACAAAATGCATAGACATTAGGCTTACTATTTTGAACAGTTCAATTTTTCTTTGCGACATAAATCTTGAGTCAACAATAAGGTACCCAATGCTTTGAGTCGGTGGGTATCATTGTTGAGCGTGTTACTAGATGAAGTTGTTACTTTTGACTGTTTAAAAGAGCTTTATGTTGATGATGAAGACTTTCAGGACATTTGGGCAAAGTGTTCGACAAGACAACCCATAGGAGATTATATTATCATGGACGACTTTCTATTTAAAGGAAATCAGCTTTGTATTCTCAGGACGTCATTAAGGGAGAAGATAGTTCGAGACTTACATGGTGGCGAGCTTGGTGAACACTTTTGGTGAGACAAGACTATTTTGAGTCTTGAAGAGAGATACTATTGGCCAAGTTTGCAGAAGGACGTGGCAACACTTGTGAGGAGTTGTAAAGTGTGCCAAGTTGCAAAGGGACAAGTGCAAAATACTGGTTTGTATACTCTTCTATCTGCGCCCAAGGATATATGTGAATATTTGAGTATGGATTTTGTGTTGGGACTTCCATGAACATAAAGAGACTAGGATTCAGTCTTTGTGGTAGTGGATCATTTTTCTAAGACGACTCACTTCATCCCGTTCCGCAAGACTTCGGATGCACCGCGTATTGCACGACTTTCTTTAAAGAAGTGGTTCGGCTACATGGAGTTCCAAGCTCGATTGTTTCGGATAGGGATACTAGGTTCTTAGCAAGTTTTTGGACTACTTTATGGCAATGGTTTGACACTTCATTGAGGTATTCTAGTACAACACACCCTCAAATGGATAGACAAACAGAAGTGATCAATCGAACCTTGGGAAATTTGATTCGATGCATATGTGGAGAGAAGCCAAAGATGTGGGATCAAGTTATCCCTCAAGCTGAATTCGCCTACAACTTGACTATTCATAATTCCAAAGGTATGTCACCTTTTTCCATTGTTTACAGGAAGACACCTCGACATCTCCTAGATTTGTTTAAGTTGCCGACAAGTAGCAAGGTCAGTAAGGTAGCAAGTTCGTTGGCCAAGAATGCTATCAATATTCAGGAAGAAGTTCGTACAAAACTCGAGAAAGCTAATGCAAAATTCAAGACGCAAGCAGACAAGAAGAGGTGATTCAAGGTGTTCAATGAAGGAGGCATGGTGATGGTTTACTTGCGAAAAGAACGGATGCCGGCTGGAAATTATAGCAAGCTTAAGCCGATACGATATGGTCCCTTCAAGATTCTTATGAAGATCAATGATAATGCATATGTAGTGGATCATCCTGAAGGAATGCTATGTCGACGACATTTAACGAGGTGGATATTTCTGACTATCATCCTTCAATTGAGTTGTACTCAAGTGATGCCAACTCAGAGATGAGTTCTTTCGAAAAAGGAGGGACTGATACAGTATATCTACAAGATGCGGCATGACGAATCGAAACAGACGAGCTGACAACAAACCAGACAAGATAAGACTCGAGGACTCGAACCAGACGAGACGAGACACAGAGACTTTGAGGCCCCAGTTGAAAGGATCCGAGATCCTGACACTTCGAGACCCCAGTCGACAAGACGAGATCCCAGTCGAGACCCCAGTCGATAGGTCGAAACGACACGCCCCAGTCGACACGAAGAGTGGTGTTAGTCAACACCTGCCAGTCGACACGTCCCATTCGACACAAAGGGAGCTAGTCGACACATGTTAGTTGTCTCATGTCCAGTCAACACGAAAGGCATTACTACTCGCTACGCCTCGTGTCGACTCAGATTTCAAATTAGGAAAGAGTTTCTTTTTTGTTGTTTCCTTTTAAGATTTGGTATTTTCCTTTTAGGATTAGAGTTTCTTTTTTATTAGAGTTAGGATAGATTTAGTTATAAATATTAGTTCCTTTTGTAAATTGTCAATAAACTTTTTAATTATTCAATCAAGAGAATTTTTCTCCTTGTTTACGTTCTCAACTTTGAGAAACTTAGAGATTGTGGATTCAATCTCGTGAACTACCTGTTGTTGTCAGGTCTCGTCGGCATCGGAACGATATCCGATCGGCCTCCTCGTTTCTACGTCTGCGTCACTTCATGCCATTTAGAGCAAGTTAGTAGACGGAAGTGTTTGCAAGGAAGTGTATGAAAGTAATTTTGGTTTAACAAAGTACCAGTGAGCATCATGCCATATAGGGGTACTCGTTTTACTTTAACATTTTGAAAGAGTTTCTAAGACAGCTTAGAGACCAATCTAAAGATGAGTTTTGTGTATCAACCTCGAACTAATTTGCAGTTGAAAATAAAATTCAAATGTGGGAGGATATGTTGCGAGCGTACATTTTGGATTTTAAGGATTCGTGGGAGGACCATTTGCCCTTGGTCGAGTTTACCTACAATAATAGCTACTAAGGGAGTATTCAGATGGCTCATGAACACAAATTTAGATCCGCGGTGTGTTGGGAGAATATTAGTGAATTGTGGTCGCGGAGGCCGGAGATGATTATTGAGATGGCGGATAAGGAGAATAGGAGTATAGTGTACACAACCGATATCAATGATCTCAAGATTCTCTGTGTATTTCTCATCTCTCTATGTATTTTCCATTCTCTAAGTTGATAACAAACGTGTACAAATTGTCCTAGTAAAATCCTAACTTGTACCTACGCGCATTAGGTTTCCATGTCTAGAAATAGTTGCGAACTCTGATCGACATTAGTAGCGATTGATTGAGCCAAAAGTCAGTAGCTTCAAATCTCAGTTTGGTTACCAAGATGATGCCTGATGCCTTTAATGCATAATAGCTTGAAGTGCCAACCCGAGTTCTTTCGAATTCCAATTGAGCTCATGTCAAAGCTGTGCCGATGGGACTAGACATTTTCACATGTGTGTCATGAATGACCAGATAAAAGTAAAGCTTATTGTCAGTTAAAATTATCTTTCATTTCCTTGATTTCAAACGATTGTTCGCTTTAAATTTAACGATATAAATGCTCTTGTATAACTCAGTTTAACTATCCCAGTACATTAAAGAAAACTCAATTACAATGCTAATTAATTAATAAAATTAATTTACAAACTAATAAGTTATGCAAGTTTGATGACAAGGATGCTATAATATTAATTTATTTAATATCTAAGAATTTAAGAAAACTCAATTCAAGTATCACAGCTATGACATATATAGTGTATAGTTAAACATTTTAACTATTTGGGAAAAATGTGTCCAGACCCCAAAAGCAGAAAACTTCATGTGACGAGACCCCTTGTATTTTCCCCCATGTGGATAAGCCCCAAAAAGCAGCGTTTAATATTTCCAAGGCCCTCCACGTCAGCGGTATACAAAAGAGCAATTGTATTTTATAAAAAAACCCGAGTTTGCCCTTCTCCTTCATCCCTAACCGCTTCGTCCCCAGACGCTTCGTCACATCCTATTAAATGCAAACTGTTGTAAGAAATGGAGGGAAATTTTCGCTCTTTTTCCCTCTATCATGAGCAATAACTATTTAATTATCTATTACTCTTTCCTAAGACGAAAATTCTCTCCATTACTCTCTCTATATTACTCCTCTTTGTCCTAAGTTCGATCCATTACTCTTACATCCACTTCATAATAGCTGAAAAGGACATCATCTGCATTGTCGCTTCAAGGGATAGAGCAGTATTCATGAAGATTAACTCTTCAACCACCATTCTGGATCTAAAATTTGATGTGTCAGAGAGGCTAGATCTTCCATATGATTCATTAAGTTTGTCATACAAGGATATTCACATGCAAGCTTCAAACTCCTCATTGAGAACGAAGATGATTTGTCGTCTATGGTGGAGCATTGCCATAATAGAGGATTAAAGGAGATTCACATGCAAGCTTTCAAAGAAACAGAGGATTCTTCAAAAGTACACAACAACGAGCAAGTTCGACAAGACATGTAGGGCCAATGATTTTTTTTGATGCTAAGACCAATATTCACGATGTTAATTGTAAATCAGTTGTGTTAGTTCATGCTAGTTCCATGTTTGGTGTAATTGGATTTTAGCTCTGATTTGAGCATATGTTAGCTCTAATCGATTTCATATCAGTTCTAACCGCTGTGAATTCTAGTTACTGCTCTATGCGTATGAAGGAGGTTCATGCTAGTTCTTGTTCTACGTGAATGTACTAAACATGTTAGTTCTAATAGATTTATTGTTAGCTATAATCTATTAATTGTTAGTCCCAATCGACTTATTATTAGTTCTAATCGATTTACTATTAGTTCTAGTTCAAATTTTGTGTAGTAGCCAATATGTTAGTTCTAAACGATTTCATGTTAGTTCTAATTGAAATCATGTTAGTTCAATCGGATTCCACGATAGTTCAAAACAAACAGTTGTTGTTTATGTTCTTTATATTTGCAGCGCTTCCAATAGTGCTTCCAGCAGTATGAAGTCAAAAAGTATAGAGTGTGGCCTGCCGTTATCGACGCCTACATGTGTTTTAGATAGGATTCCCAATGACAATTCTTCCAGAGATAATGTTCTGATGATTGATGACATGATTAACAGATCAGAGAGGATTCCTGCTTGGTGGCACACTGCTTTAACCGGTGAGGGACAACGGTTTGAGAGTGCGAAGAAATTAAGATTGGCTTTACTATACTATTCCATGGCCAAAAAATTCGAGTACTTGTTTGCTAAGAATGAACCAAAGCGTATTCGAGTCGTTTGTCGTTTCAAGAAAGCACAAAATTACCCGTGGATGTTATTTGCCTCTCCAACACCAAATGAGAACAAACTTGAAATAAAAACCTTCGTGGACAAACACACTTGTGGGAATCATGGCAATAATGCAGGTCAATCTAGGGCCTCTCGACAATTCATTGCGACCCAAGTACTACCCACG